ATTAGAAAACATTTTGAATTAAATGATAATGAATAGACAACATATCAAAATCTGTGGGAGACAAGGGAAGGGGTGCTTAGAGAACACAAATAGCTTTAAAAACCTACAGCATGAGGTTCTACCTTAAGAAATTAAAAACAGAGAGCAAGTATGATGACAATAAGTACAAGAAAGAAAATAGTCAAGGTAAAAGCAGATATGAAAGAAATAAAATAGAGACAGAAAGTAGAGATAATCAGTATTGTTAAAGCTTCAAAGATCAACAAAATTGGTAAACCCCTATCTAGGCTGATCACAAAAAAAAGAGAGGACATAGATGATCAATATCAGAAATGAAATAGCAGTTATCACCACAGATAATAAGAGACCATTATAAATGAACAATTCTATGCCAACAAATGGGACAAAATGTAGACAAATGTCATGAAAATTATAACTGACCAAAATCGATAGAAGAAAAAAAATAAAATATAAAAAGATGTGTATTTGTTAAAGAAGTTAAATTCATTATCAAAAGCCTTCCTAAAAAGTAAATCTCAGATCCAGATGGTTTTGTTAGTGAATTCTATCAATTATCCTAGGAATAAAAAATATAAATATAAATTTTACACACACTTTTTCAGTGACAGAAGAACAAACTGTCCGACTGATTTTATGAGACCAGTATAACTTTAATAAAAAAAAACTGGATAAAGTCATTATATGAAAAGAAAACTGTAGACAAATATACTTCATGAATATAGTAGACAAATATACTTCATGAATATAATATAGTAGACAAATATACCTCATGAATATAGGCACAAAAATTCCTTAATAAATATTAACAAATCAATCCAGCAATACAAGAAAGGGGTAATACATCGTGACCGTGTAGGATCTGTATGAGAAATTCAAGAAGAGCTACCCTTCAAAAATCAATCAATACAATTCACTACATTAAAAAATACTAATAAGGAGGAAGAGGAGAAAATAATTTCAAAAAATTCAACAAATACTAATGATAAAAATTCCCAGAAATCTAGAAAAAGTAGAAAACTTCCTCAATCTGATAAGAGACACATGTGAAGACCATGTACCTAACATCCTATTTCATGCCTCCCCTAAGATCAGGAACAAGGCAAAAATGCCTCCTCCCACCACTTCTATTCAACATTTTACTAGAGTGCTTAACCAAGAGAAGGCAAGAGAAAGAAATAAAAGGCAGGAGATCAGAAATTAACCATAAAACTGTTCCTATTTACATATGATATGCTTGTTTACATGGAAATTCTTGGAGCATTCTACTAGTAGCTCAAATAGATGAATTTAACAGGTCTAGGGTACAAGAGTAATGTTTAAACACAACTGTATTCTTCTACACTAGCAGCAACAGCTGGGAAATAAACTTGAACAGTCCCATTTAAAGTAGTTCATATATACACACACCTATATAAAAAGGGACTATATTTAGTAAACACACACACACATATATATGTGGACTAAATCTAATAAAAACATTCAAGACTTCCTATATTGAATATTATAAAACATTACTGAGATAAACTAAAGAAGAAATTTGAAAAACAGAGATTATTGTGTGTCAATTATACACCAATAAAGCTCTTTTAAAAACTCAGCAAATTGTACACTTTAAATATGTATAGTTTATACACATACAGATACCTCCATAAAGATGTAGAAAGAGATAAACTGATCGACTGATAGATTGATCAACAGATTGGTAGATACATTGTGAGTTTTTTAAAAGAAGAACTTGGTTTCAAATTAATTTTGCCAGCATTGCCAGAACTCAGGTCTTGTTGATCTATGCCATGTGTATACATCAAAGCTGGTATTTAGGGCTCTTCAACTAAGAGGTGCGTGATGTCAAAAGATTAATTACAAACATCTAATAGTACAAACATTGGTTAATGGATCTCTATGTCTGCACTAGGTAAGCTTTGTTTTGTAGTCCCGAGGCAGGTCACAGTGCCTGGTATCTAAATGCTCAATTATTATGCCTGATAAACAAAATGCTGTTTGAAAGTTCTGGTCTGTCATCAAAGAGAAGAAGTTTATTGGTCAATTATAAAACAGATAGCTTTTTTATAGTCTAAACACAACCATGACACTTGAAGTTATATGCTTTAACAGATTATAACTTTCTTTAATTCATTTTTAATTGTATAACTCTTATACAGTCCTTAAAATATATATTCCCCGATTTAGGCAAAGTTTATGTTTGACATATCTTAAGTTCTAACTTTTAAAAAGATAAAGGATTCACTCAAGCCCACATTCAAACTTTGCAAAGAAACCACCAATTGTTTCATTTATTCTATTAAACTTCAAAGTAAGCATACCAATTTCATAGTATTTTTTGAAAGGTATTTAAAATATAATTTTTAAAGCTTTAGACATACAAAATTGTCTACACATTTTTTAAAGATTTTATTTATTTATTTGACACAGAGAGAGAGAGACAGCGAGAGAGGAAACACAAGCAGGGGGAGTGGGAGAGGGAGAAGCAGGCTCTCCGCGGAGCAGAAAGCCCGATGCGGGACTCGATCCCAGGACCCTGGGATCATGACCTAAGCTGAAGGCAGACGCTTAACGACTGAGCCACCTAGGCGCCCCTTGTCTATACATTTTATATATTTTTATATGTATATATAAAACTGTTACTATTTAATATATATTAAGATATGTTTAACATACACTTTGGGTAAACAGCAAAACACATTTTGAAAAAATACCAGTTTCTTTGTGTAACTATGCAGACACTTGAACAATAAGAATAAAACACTATTTTATTTCATATTTTATGTTAAGACATGGGACTATGTTAGAAGAGTATCAGCTGGTAGAACTTAAATACACGTGTACATATACATATGTGTGTATGCGAATGTATGTGTGTAAATCTCTTTCCAGATAAATTTAATTTTATTTTTTTAAGAATCTTTTTAAAGATTTTATTTATTTATTTGACAGACAGAGACACAGCGAGAGAGGGAACACAAGCAGGGGGAGTGGGAGAGGGAGAAGCAGGCTTCCCGCGGAGCAGGGAGCCCGATGCGGGGCTCGATTCCAGGACCCTGGGATCATGACCTGAGCCGAAGGCAAACGCTTAACCGACTGAGCCCTCCAGGAGCCCCCCAAATAAATTTTAAAGTGTAATAAACACATGATGATCTATCATGGAGATAGGTTCATATCCACTTTATTTGTACAGTTTTCTTAGCTCTTTAAAATATATCTTACAAAGGGAAATCTCTTGTTTTCTTGTTAAGCTTTTGGAGAGATTTGCCAGTGTTAATCTTCCAAAAGCCTCAACTTTGCAAGCCTTGGAGATTCCTGGAAAGTCTGCGTGTGGTAAAGAACATTGTTACTAAAAGGCCCTGGCGAAGCATTGCGGTTTTCCTTCATGACTTCATTATGTGCTTGCACCACACTCGCATTACAGGGGAGCATGGGCATGGCCACGGGGATCTCCCTCTGCTGGGTGGCATGAAGATCAACTGTCAGAGATGATGCCCACTGAATAATGGATAAATGATAGTACCTGGGCATAGGTTTGACGGCCATAAAACATATTATGCGATTGCCTTAACATTCAAACTTGGGGACTGAGAGAATTATTATTTCTAAATGCCAAGCTAACTAGAATTGTGGAGAATTTCAGTAGGCCCTTCTCTTATTAGTGTTTGAGGCAATTATAGAGAGAATGGGTCAGTGCTAATTTTCCTCCTGCACTGGGAAAATCTTTTCTTGCTACTGCAAGAAAAGATATTCAAATTCAAATCAAATTTCTTATCAAAATATTCTGTTTGTGGGCGCCTGGGTGGCTCAGTTGGTTAAGCAACTGCCTTCGGCTCAGGTCTTGATCCTGGAGTCCTGGGATCGAGTCCCACATCGGGCTCCCCGCTCAGTGGGGAGTCTGCTTCTCCCTCTGACCCTCTTCCCTCTTGTGCTCTCTGTCTCTCATTCTCTCTCTCTCTCAAGTGAATAAATCAAATCTTTAAAAAAAATAAAAAAAATTCTGTTTGTGAAAGCCATTACAAATAAGTAGCAACCCGCACACACACAAACTCCCACCAATCACGTTGTATTCCCAGTGAGGTCAGTGGACTTCATTGCAAATAATATGGTGTTAAATCAACAGGTAGAATCAACCTGCTTTGTGCTTTATGAGAATAGCTTAACTTCTTGACACCCTATATATGACATATATTTCTTTGATTTCTCTCTGTTAATGATATAATCTCTTATGATACTATGGAAAATCAGATATAAAATGGATATGAACACTTTTACTACGTTAGCCCTCTCTGAGTAAACAAGTTTTCAATGAATTCAGAAATGTCATAATTCAAGTATCATATTTATTAAAATGAGGTGGAGTATGATAAGAGACCTTGGAATGTATGCAGAGAGGAGTCTGATAACTAAGTTTACAGGCTTGATTGAAAATTCCTTGTTTCACCTTTTGTTTTATAGTCATAATGGCATAGCCACAAAGCTTTACCTATAAATGCTAAGGGAAAAGAAGGCAAGGTGACTAGATAATTTAGTGTTAAAGAAAAATTGACAGAATATCTTCCTAGTGAGAAAAAAATGAAAAAAAATGTGTTGACTTTCTTTTTACAAGAATTATTAAGATTAGAAGTTTCTATTGACCAGTGGAAAAAAATAATACAATTCCCTTTTTGTATTCTATGACTCATAAGCAAAAGTACACAGCAGAGCACCTACCATCGTTGTGAATGTCTCTAGATAAAATACCCCAATTCAAAATCCAGAGATGAAAAACAAGGGTGTGTGTGTGTGTGTGTGTGTGTGTGTGTGTGTGTGTGTGTGTGTAGACTGACAGAAGATAGAAAAAGAGAGAGACTTGTCTTATGAAATAATATGTCACAAATTAAAATAAAAGTCCAAAGAACAAGTTTCTAAAAAAGAAAATAATTTCAAATAAATCATTTATTTCACTTAATAGAATAAAAACCATAGCTACTCACCTAATCTCTCAATGGAATAATATCGTTGTTTACTATCCACACGTACTGTCTCAGCATAAGGGCTCCCAACACCGTAACCAATAATGTAACCTCGCACCACAATGTTTGGGTTCAAGGGAGGAGTCCAACTCATGATGATGCAGTTGGTCTGGGGCCTCACATGAAGAGAGCTTGGTTGGTCAGGGACTTGAGACTCTAGAATTCAAAGGAGGCATTATTAGTTTGTCTCATACTAGAACATACAGCATGGTAAAACTTCCCATTTAAGTAAGACTTAATATCATATTCCATAGATCCTCAAATGGTGTATCACTCACTGCCCAAGTTCCTCCTTGTGTCAGCACATAATACATTTTCCATGTTTGATTTGACTTTCACACAGTTTCTCAAGCACAGAGGGCACTGAGTTCCTTCCATAGACATGTAGCATCATGCATCTTTATTCTAATCATTTTTTTCTTTGGGCTGTCCCCCCATATAACTCTTCTTAGGTATCATCGGTACTGAATAAAATCAGAGGATGTAAGAATAATAGAAAGGGAAATGAAATGTCAAAGTGGTCTTGCCCAAGGATTATTTACTCTGATTTAACAAAAAAACAAAAAGAAAGCAGTCTTTTCTTAAGAAATTGTCAGGAGAAACAGTTGAGGGCCATGATTTGCTCAGCTTGATTAGGATGGCACTTGACCCATAATTTAGTGCATCTCCGAAAAGCGCATTCATTGTAAAGAAAAGGAGACAGCGGCTGGGATTGCAGCCACACAGACTTTGGAGTGTACAAATTTGATTTCAAACCAGGCTCTGTCATTTACTAGCTGTGCACCCTCATGAAGTTATTTATCTTCTCCGAGATTACCTTCTAATTAAATTGACATTCCAAATATTGATTGCCTCAAAGCCTGGAAGTAAGAGTTCCAATTTGTACTGTATACTCACCATCTCAGAGAAACCTTAAAACCTTATTTGTCCTGTCTCCATTTCCTCACATGTAGAATGAGGCTAAAGGTAGCAATGGTCTCATAGGATGCTGAGAAGATTTAATGAGATAATGCATAAAGTGCTCTAATTATGAGTAGCACCACTGATGTTAGCTGTTAGGGAGTAAATATACATGCAACGTGGACATAACTTTTCTTTGAAGGAGATTGTGTGTTGAAAATTAAAAAACTAGAATTCTGGCTTTTATATCATCCTTCTTCCCTCTGATCCCATCCCTAAAGAAATGATGCATTTTCTGGATGATTATCATCATTCACTTAATAGATATTTATAGAGCACCTACTATGTTTGGGGAGTAGGGCAAGGTACCCATGATGATCAGGACACAGGACAGAGTGAATACGGCAGACGGAAAACATATCTTTGGAGTTTACAGTTTAATGGGAAAGACAAGTAAAAAGGCAGTTATAATATACTATGATACATATTTTCATAGGATTAATACAGGTACATGTACCCTATTTTTTGAAAATCACAGAAGTATTCTGGGAAGAAATTTAAGAAAGAATGTGCCCATCTAAACTAGTAGTCCTTTAAATGCTCAGCACAGTACCTGGCAATTAAAGGGTACTCAAAAATATTAGTGATGTGAACCTTATTTAAACTACTTGTGTTCATTATTTCTTTCTTAACTGATAATCTCTAAAGGTAACATATGTCAGATTATGCAAAAGACTTTGATGATTAAAGGTAATATTAAAATATATTTTTTCCTTGATGTAATAGCAAAAGGTGATATAACCTCTATTACCAACTTTAGCCACCTTCAACACGTATGCTTCTAGCTTAAGTGATATATAGAAGCATGTCTTTTATTAGAGTTTTTAAAGTAGGTCCCATACTAACAGCTTTTCAAAAGATGCTACATTCTAAAGATGCTACATCAGCAGCATTTTCTAAAGGAGCTTCTTTTTCTGAAGATGCCCATTTGTGAACAAAAAGGGACAAGCTTTTATTTGTCTGCCCCAAAGAAGCCTGTGACATAATATGCAAAGGTGTCATAAAAAATTATCTCAAAATGTGTATATAAACCTTAACAACAGAAACACAATGTTTGTGAAGGATTTTCCATTATAAACCCTAGGGAGAAGTAATAAAAGAGATAAAAGGAATGGATTAATACTTTTCAACTCTATTGCCACAGAGGCTCTCCAGTGTCCTTGAAATGTAATGGGCTCTACAGTGAATTCTGTTGAACACTTTTGAAGCTTTTGTAATAATTATCGAAAACAACAAGAAAATCTGCCTAATCTTTTATTTAGAAAATGAACTAAATGCTATGACTTTTTAAAATCAATATGAAAATTTAATGATTTTAATGACAATTTTCAATATCTTTTAGAATAAAAGGAAAAAATATTTTAAATGTTTTCAGAACAATAACTTCTCCACCTTTCTGCAAACCATAGAGTAGCTCCCCCACAAGTCAGTTAGGTCAGTACCCACAGAGTTATATCCCTTGGAGTTTTATAAAAGGACTAGGGTAATAAATGCCCAAATTGCTCTTGAAGAAGAGGGACTCTTGGTACACAATACTCATCTTTTTTTTTCACTGCATAAAAGTAGTTTCAATCCTAGATCCAAACCTCAAAACTATTTTAACATGATAAAAATAAGGGTGTCAATACATAAGCATATATGCTGCCTCCCCATCTAAATTTTTAATTGGCTTTTACCACCCCTTTAGGATCACAGGGCCATAAGAAAGGGTGTCCATCAAGGCAGTAGTAGACCTAAGCCATTCACAATATATGGCCTCATCATAAAGATAACTGTGTTAGGAGATTGTTTATAATCCGGAATAACCAGTTTGTACCCACCTACTTACTTCTTACTGTAAAGACAGAAATGACATTTTCCTTTTATGTGACCTGATTTAGTTTTCTCTAATACAGATGACCTTATGGATTAGGAAAATGGTTACTATTGGAATGAACTAGAAAACATCAATTTAGAAAATTTGCCGTGAAAATATGTGATGTGTTTGAAGGCTGAAACTAAAATTCACTACTCAGAAGTACATGAAAGATTTTACAAGTACCTCTAGGACAATAATTGAGTACATAAAGCATAGAGAAGCATTAAGGTAATTATTGAAATAATTTGAAACCAAAGAACACATTTTGCCTGAAATATCCAAATTAATGAGCCCCAAATTTCTACTGAAATCTGAATTATCACAGTAACTAGGTCAACTGCCATTCTTGATTACACTATGGAATTATGGATTCTATCTTGGTTTAATTTGTTCCTAAAGAATAGTTATTATTTTTTGAGTGACGATTGCAATTTTCACTAATGAGTAGTGCTCACAGATAGCACATTAGGAAATTTATCACATTAATCCCCATGACATTTCAATAATTATTGTGCATCTCTTATGTGCCAGTCATAGTTCTGGGTACTGAGGATATCGTTTTATGGGGGGTAAGACCGATAAAATAAGAATAAACACACAAGGAAACTGAGAGATCTTATAAGTGCTATGCTGATGGAATAGTAACTGACTCAAGGAAGGTATTACTGGTAGAGTCTAAGGTGAATGATCAGAAAGAGCCAGTCAAGCAAACAGCAGGGTGGAAATATTTACAGGAAGAGGTAATAACTCAAAGTCCCTATAGCAAGAATGAGCTTGGTATTTGGAGAAATCAAAGAAGGTCACTGTGCCTGGACTAAGAAGGAAAATGAAGAAGATAAAAAGAAAGTTACCCAGTGGGAATGTAAAATGGTACAAATGCTATGAAAAACAGAATGGCAGTTAAAAAAAATAGAATTACCATTAGATCCAACAATACCATTTCTGGGTATATTTCCGAAAGAATTGAAAGTAGGGACTCAAAAAGGTATTTGTACACCTGTATTCACAGCACAATTATTCACAATAGCCAAAAAGTAGATGAGACTCAGGTGTCCATCAACAGATGAATGGATAAACAAATTGGGGTACATACATACAATGGTATATTTTTTCAGCTTTTAAAAGAAGGAAATTCTGATACGTGCTATAATGTGAATAAGCCATTAGAACATTATGGTAAGTAAAATGAGCCAGACACAAAAGGACTAAAATTGTATGATTCCACTTCTATGAGATACCCAGATCAGTCAAATTTATAGAGACAGAAAATAGAATGGTGATTGCTAGGGGTTGAAAGGAGGGTGGAGTAGGGAGTTATTGTTTAATGGGTACAGAGTTTCAGTTTTGCAAGACAAAAAGAGTTTCGGAAGAGAGTGGTTTTGATGATGGTCACACAACAGTGTGAATGTACTTAAAGACACTGAACTGTACACTTAAAACTAGTTAAGATGGTTACTTTTATGTCATGTGCATTTTTAAACAATTTAAAAAAATTAGGAAACCTTAAAAATGTTTTTGTACTTGTCTGGGTGGCCACTGTGGAAATGTAGTGTGCATATTTGGGACATTTGAGAGGTAAAATCAACAGAGGTATAAACTGGATGTGAATGGTGTGGGAAAGAAGAGCCTCAGTGAGGACCCCCAGATCTTTGGCTTGGGCAACTGGTGGATGACCTACTGAGATGAAGAAAAACAAGCAAGTTCTTGGGTCATGTTAAATTTGAGAGGCCTATTAATCACATCTGTGGAGATCTCAGGGATGTACGTGGATATGTAAGTCTGGGGTTTTAGTGAAAGGCCATGGTCAGATACACAGATATGAAAGCCATCAACATATAGATGATATTGAAAATAAATGTGTATGAATATAAGATACAGTGTGAGCACATGTGTAAACAAAATACAAATAAGATCATGTCAAATAAAGAAGACCACTCCAAACTCCTTCAAATCTTCCCATAGCACATTGTAAGGTCAAGTTCTTTACCATGGCCTAAAAGATCATGTATGATCTACCCCATGCCTCCTTAGCTCTCTCTCTTCATCTCCAACCACTTTCCCCTTTGCTCACTTTACCCCAGCCATCTACTACACACTGGACACTTTGTGTTCCTCAAACATGTCAGGCATGCTCTGACCTCAGGGCATCTGAGTTTGCTGTACCCTCTTCCTGGGAAGCTCTCCCTCAGATATGCCTTCCTCCCTTATCTCCTTCAGGTTTCTGTTATTTAATTTCCAACTTCAGCCTTCCCTGGCTACCATATTTAAAGTTGCAATCTTTCCCTAGTCTCTAATCTAATAATCACCTGTCTATTTTTCCCCCCTTAGGATTTATTGC